GGAGAGAGGGAACAAATATATATATATATATATATATATATATATATATATAAATTTTTCTCGCTTTATATTCAATAACGTATTTTATATACTTATATTTATATAAAAGTGAGAGAAAGCGAGCAAGAATTTAAGGGAGAGAGGTGAATCGATGAGGTAAGAAAAGAAAATTGCATGGTTTTCAGTAACGGAGACTTTTTCACTAGTGGTAATTAATTTCGCATGTAAAAGTAAAAAGGCATTTCTCACCTCCATGCCCTGTGGCTATAACCATAATCTGGATATATATAGGTGGTTTTTAATGAACGGATAAGATTGAATATGAACGAATTAAAAAAAAAAGATAAAAATGGATACTTGCAATTTTTGATTCATATTGTATGTACTATTAATTAATGTCACACTCAACCCATACTCAATTATATTTCGGTGTTAAAAAACTATAGAGTTCAACATCTAGCTATACATGGCTTGTAGTATGGATTTTTTCCCTAAGGCTATCAAATCAGTTATAAAATAATTACTATCAACATTTCATAAAAATTAAAAAGAAAATTGGAATAGTAATTCTGAAAAAATAAAATAAACAAATGATATATATATTGTTGGGTATGTAGCAAGAATTGATGGGAAATAAAGGAAAGGAGAGAAATTTGAAAAGTTTAAAACTTGAAAGGTTGGGAACTTGAAAAGTACTCTAATGCTTTAATGAAAAAGACAATTATCCCTCATCAGTAATAGAAATGAAAATAGGAGAGTTTAAATAAATAAACACTCCTATTAATTGTTAAAAGGGTTGGAAAGAGGGACCCCCTTGCGCTGCCGTCGTCGCTCGCTTCGGCTACGGCTACGGCAAATGATCGATCGAGAGATTATATTTTGGACAAATTTATTTTAATTATTTATTTAATTAATTAAATGTCCAAAAATTATTTTGAATTAATTAATTGATAACAGAAGTTAATCGAAATGTTTTCAACTTTTTAGTTAACTTACTCGGTTATATTTAAAATTCCTGCCATGACTGTTCTGAAAGGTTGCAACTTTCAGGAACAGTCAATATCATTTGAAAGTTTGCAACCTTTCATTAATAGTCGTGTCAATTCTGAAAGGGTTGCAACCTTTCAGAATATATTCTTCTTGCCTATAAATACCATTCAGTCTTCAGAATATTTCCCTATGAATTTTCTGATCTTCCTTTTTCTTCTAAACACATATTTCTTCGTGTACTTTCCTGATGTGGATTGATTCGCTGACAGTAGAGTTTTTGGTATCTACACTCTACCGATTAAGATCATTTTACCCTGGGATGTTATATTCCAAATCAAACCTCGGATCCTAGAGGGGAATAATTTCATTAGGGGCACTGTGAATTCAGTAGACTTGATTTTCTTCCAAAATTATTAAAAAGAATATTCCAGATTCTGGTAAGTTTTTACAGATTCAATTATTTTTTACAAATAAATTTCTGTTCATCTTACTTACTGGTTCTAAAAATCTCAGTTACTTCGTGTTTCTGAATGATTTATTACAACTAGTAATTTCTGATTTTCATAACACATATTGACAAACATATATATATATATATTACAAAATATATAAGCTTGACAAATTATCAGAATCAACCTAATTATTTGGTATTTGAAACCCAATGATTGTTCATATTTATCTCATTAAATCAAATCAAATCAACTCAGCTTGCTCAAGATCTTATTGGACGGCAAATCTGAGTCAGGCGAACACAGTCCCGAACCTTATTAATGTATTGGAGGCATACTAATATAAATAATCAACCCATCAAATCAATTTTCTCGATCCTAAGTGGTCACAACATCTAGATTCATTGTTTGTTTCAAGTCCTCTTCGTGACAACAAAATGGATAGAAGTGTTTTTCATTGCATACCTAGTTTTTGCTAACCAATATGAGTTTAGGTGGGATGACAAAGGTATGTATCAGGATTTAAAGTGTTGGTTATGAATAAAGTCTGGTTGAGAGTGTCGTCTTTATGAATGAGTTTTGTGATATTTAAATTCAATTTAATTGGATTTTATTTAAAATATGAGAAACTCAACACTAGGTGAAAAAAGCAAAGTCGGTAATTGCATTAATTAATGAATGAGTTAATTATATGCATTTAATATGGATGGGAACACATAGTTTTCTGGTACTGAGTACTGATGTTTACACTTTTCTAGCCATTTGTTGGCTCCCAATTCTGGTAATCTTTTTTTCTACATTTTCCGGTTTGCGTCGTTTTTACTTTGTTTGGATAATGACTATTCAAATCATTTCGTTTTTTCTATTTTTTTTCCTACTATTAATTAGAGGGTTTAATGATGCAGCATTGTGTGGATGTCCTCATATATTTTAAAATTATTGAATTGTAATTAATTATTATTTAAAACTCTAATCAAATAAGTACTAGTCTATTTGTGAAATCATAATAATAATGTACTACCGTCGGCAAGATAACTTCTCACAGAGTTGGTACCAGAAAGAGTACTTTTCGGGATCTCTTTTACTTGTTACATTTTGATTGATCAATATTTAAAAAAGTATATATTATTATAAAAAGAATTACAAAATTAAAGTACTTTATATATATTTTTTAAACACCTATTAACTTATTTCAATCTAATTTAACTTTAAAAACTAGTCTAAAGTAACAAAATGCGATAAAATATAAACTTTGGGACTTGGGAGGAAGTATATGTCAACTTAACAGTAAAAATTGAGAAGCAAAGTCAGAACGAGAGATCTCCAATCTTACATTCTATTTTACTCTTTAAATATAAATTTTTCTATTTTTTCAGACAATTAACTCGAACTCAATTCTCTATTTTACTCTCTAAAAAAGAATTTTTTTTCTCTTTAATATTATATTATTATTTATATTTCATTCTTATTTTCTTATTTTATGATATAAATCATTTATTTCTTTTTCTCAATAATTACTTTATATGATTCTCATGTGATACAAAAAATTATTTTTTCAATTTTTATATTTAATTATTATATTTTATTAAAATTTAAATATCACAAAAATTCCATGAGAATATTATATAGTATATAAATTAACGAACAAATTCAAATAAAATTGAAATACAATTAGATAAACATTACATAATCACTCAATTTTTGAAATTATTACGTTGCTCCTATAAAATACTCTATTAATGCATTACGGAATTCAAAATGATCATTTTTGTCATTTTTATTATGTCTAGCTAAAAATTGTTCATATCGAATATTTTCATCTAACGCCATTTCTGTCGTTGGAGTTGAAGCCTCTACGATATCTTGAATTGGTGCATTAAGACCACGTTCATCCTCAACTATCACGTTGTGTAGTATAATATATGTAGTCATTATATCACGTAACACTTTTTTTCTTTGAAAACGTGATGGACTTGCAATAATTGCAAAACTTCGAATTCTCGTTCAACATCTTTTTGACACGGTCTTGTTTCATCGCGAATTAATTATTATATTATTATTATATTTTATGTTGTATTTAAATAATTATGCTATGTATTATATTGTTATCTTGTATTTAAATTAATCATCTAACTATTGTAATTTTGTGTATTATTTATAATGAAAATTAATAATAAAATAAAAAATATTATATTACATTTAAAATGACTTATGAATATTAGATATTTAATCAATAAAATTATATGTAAAATAATATGTAAATTGGAAAGTAATGAAAATAATAGTAAAATATTGAAAAAGTAAAATAGAGAGTGTGAATTTGGAGAACTACTATTCACCTCTCCGTAAATAGAGAATAGAGGATAATTTTGAGATGGGTGGAGAGGACATTCTCTATTTCACTTTTCAAATATAGAAAATGGAAAGTAAAATAGAGACGAGTCGGAGATGGTCCGTGAATTTTGTAGACAAAACGCAATGACAAAGAGGCAGGTAAACCCCAAAAATGCCTTGTTAAAAATTTCAAGTGGTCCTGTATAAGGGATAGCTCTGGCTGTCTTTTTTTTTTCCACTTGCTATTTGTTAATGCTCGATTAGTTCAAATTCGTAACGAAAGGTTCAATTTTGAGATAAAGCACTCTCTATTAAAGATAATTTTATATTTAAGGCTCAAATTTGAAAACTCTGATTAAAGATGAAGTACTTAGTAGTACAATCCTGGATTAAATGATAATAGTAGTACTATATATGAATAGGATGGGTGAAAAGGATGATGAATTTATCCCTATAAAAGCAGGAATTGGGTACATAAAATGTCAGACTCAAGCTATCATAATTCATATTTCTCTATCATTTTAGACTAAAAAGGAGATGAAATACAACAGGAGTAGCCATCAGCAAGTGGAACATTTGAATTTACTCCTCATCTGCATGCTTTGGTTTCTTATTTGTTCCAAAAATTTTGGTTGGCAAGAAAGGGATAGCAATGCATATAATTGAAGTTACAATAATACCGTCCTATAATTTATTATATACATATGAACACATTATTGTTGAATGAGACACTATACAATGTATGGTATATGGAGATAATAAGTAAATAAATAACAACATATCTAGTGAAATCCGAAAATGTTGAACTTATGCAGATTTTCTCACTATCTCATGGAGAAAGAAAGGTTGTTTCAAAAAGACCATCGACTCAAATATAGCAAATCCAGATATAAAGAAGAATGAAACGATGAAAAAAATATAACAAGCTAAGTAACAAGGAAACAAGCAAAGTCTGGCAGAAATAGTGTAGTGCTAATCTAAAACATAATAAACAACATATTAGGATAGATTATTGAAAATAGTAATACTAAATAATGATAGATATATACAAAAAAAAAATAGTTAAAATACTACAACTACAATGGCAAACACTAATCACCTTAAGCAAGCCAACACTATACTACCAACCACTAACCTTCTACCCTAATATAATCCACTCAACGTAATCGTCCGAGTTTGATAAGTTAATATTTATTAACTTGATCCGTTTTGATTCATCTAATTCGGTCAATCAAAAAGTTGAGCTACTTTTAACTAAATATGTAGTCTAAATTGATCTATAAGACTCTTGTCAACATATTTATTAAAACAAAGTTAATTTTTTGTTTGATGATTTATATGTATATCATATAATCATAATAAAGAGAAAAAATAAGTCATTTTAGCTGGGTAATTAAATAAGTTATAACTTTTCTACAAGATACAGTTTTAATGTATTTACTGAGGGCCAACAATTTTTTGGGCAAGGCAAATTGAAGGAATTGTTACATTGTAGATACTGAATAAAGACAGGTTAATTATCAAGTATCCTGCATAGGTTTGATTTCCACCATCCAAGTTAGGGATCAATCACTTAGTATGTGTCAAATGGGCTTACTGTGTTTTTCATGATCGATTTTGACTTATATTTACGAAATATATGTTATAAGCTTATTCAAACACTCTTTTTAACACGAGAGCAAAAGAATCACTATATTGTTAAGCTTAATGATAGGAGTCAATTTTGGTTAGCACTCAATAGAATTGATATATCTCTTGATACCTTTATTTTTTTTATACGTTGACGTGATAACCGATAAAAATATAATTAAATGAATAGTATAAATATTTTTAAAATAATATTTTCACAACAACAAAAAATTAAAAATTTATGCAAATAAGTGTATACCCTTGTGAGAAGAGTCTAAGGTGTACAAATGAAATTGTGGCTAATTATAATGCAACGTGACCATAGGACACACAAGTCCAGATGTCATCGTCTCATAGACCATTCTCATCGACTCACCAAATCTTCCATCTTCAGAGAAAAACAGCAATGGTGAGTTGAACTCAAGCAATGATCTTTCGTCTTTCCTTCACAAATTCAGCTGCTACCCGTCTCGTCTCCCTCTCCAAATTCCCAATTCTCAGAACCCCACAATTCTCCACCATGTCTACCAATTTCTTCAAGTCTCACGCCTTTGCAGGCAACCCCATTAAGCTAAGAACCCCTAAATCAACTGATCCATTTTCACCACCCTCTGCTCTCAAGACCCTTAAAAACCTTCTTTTAGGAAATACCCATGAACCCCATTCCCCTAATTTCAAGATCTTGCCTTTCAGAAAGGGAAGGCCATTGGCTGGTTCAGTTAGGGAATCGAATGAGCCGAATTGGCACCTGGGTTGGTTGAGTTTTGAGGATTGTAAGGCTTTCTTGGAGAACTCTGAGGTTAATTTGAGTGAAGATACTTTGGTTTATTTGGGTTCTGATTCTGAGGGTGATGGGGTTTATGTTGTGTACTGGGGTATTGATGTGACAGAGGCTGGTAATGGATTGGTTAAAGAATTGGGGGGTAAGCAGTTTTGCTTTGTTGAGCTTAGGACTCTGATGGTTGCCACTGATTGGGAAAATGCTTCGTCCATGGGACAACTTGCTATTGCTGGTCATGTATGTGTTTTTCACCTCTGCCTTTTCAATTTCAAAAACTACATTCTTGTATAACATTGATAGAAATACATTGCTTGTCGAATTGGATAGCTGCTCTAGGTGTCTGCGTTGTGATCACCAGCTATATGTAACTAGGCATATTAATGTAGTGAATCATTTTCATAAACTTCCTTCTACCAGCTGGTATTTTGAACCCATGTACTCCTTAGGTTTCAATTTGTTTTGTTTTGTTTTGTTTTGACTTAAGGCATGAATTTTAGGAAAATAAGGAAACTTTTGAATCTTCGGTCTTAAACTAAGATATGTAATGTGTATCAAAATGCTCTTTACACTCGTGGGAAGTTAGATTACTGAGTTGCCAAAAAAAGAAAGATTCAATTCTTTTTTAGACGGACTAAAAAGGAAAGACTAAAAAGGAAAGTAAAACAAACATGAGACGGAATATCTTTTTTCAAGTTCTATCTTTAGTTATATAGATTCTTGTAGGCAAGAAAATGTTGTATGTTTGGAATACTACTTCAGTGATCTTACATAATCTTTATCTACCACTGCTTAACAGAGGATCTCTTGTTATGAAATTGCAACCTGGTTATGCAGTTAACATCACGTTGTAAATGTGCATTTCAAACATTATTATCGTAAGATTCTTAACCTCAATTATATTAAGAGTGTTTTAAGGGTTGTCTCAGAAAGTGTGGATGTGTCTAAGAGTCCTGATAATTCCATCTAGCATCAAGTTTGTTTCTAATTCTAAGCAAATGGATTTGGGTTTTTGCCGCATTATTTTCAATGTTGAACTGCACATATCCAATCATTCGGTAGCATTCTGTTTTAGTTATTTGTAATTAGTACCTTCTAATGCTAAAAATGGCAACCTTAATTGACTGAATGTTTTACTTTTTGGCTTTGGAATTTTATCAGGCCAGATCATTACTAGAATGGCATACAGCATCACGTTTTTGTGGATTTTGTGGAGGTAAGAACATTTTAATTGATGCTGGGAGACGGAAACAGTGCTCTAATGAGTTATGCAAGAAGAAAATCTATCCTCGAGTTGATCCAGTATGTCAATCAGATCGATTTTGTTCTCTCTGATTAATATTTTGCTTGTGGTTGTACACTTTTTTGGTTTACTTGTTTTTCTTTGTTTCGTGGAAGAGGTTATGGGACTTGCATACTGAAATGCTACATGAGAAACCTAACTTTCTTTGGCATGTCTTTTCCTGGCAACAGGTTGTGATTATGTTAGTTATTGACAAAGAGAATGACCGTGCGTTATTAAGTAGGCAGTCAAGATTTGTGCCTCGCATGTGGAGTTGTCTAGCTGGTTTCATGGAGGTATATGGCGTGGTTTTGATTTTGGGCAATGCATTTTCGAGCTGCTGCATAACTTGTTGCTAAATTTAGTTAAAAAATAGCATTCATATGCCTTGATCTCTATGGATGTTGTCCATGGTGAAAAAGAGATTTAGTCAGCTAGAACCTCATTCCTGCATCAGTGTATTAGTTATTTGACTCCTATTAGCCAGTGATCAATTTTGATTTCTTCCTCAGTGTATGGAGTAGGAAAAAAAGGTTTTTGAGTTTTGACATAAGCTGAATATTTTAACATAGCCCAAAACACCTTAGCATCTTATTGTCTTCAAAATGACTGTCTTATCATAAAAAAAAATGATTTTTTTTATCAATCTTTAGAAAGAAAAAATGGAAAGAGTGTCGTATAATATGGAACTGAGGGAGTATTTCAATTTCCTGCATAGTACTTCAGCTATTTTTTGTTATTTGATTGGTTTGCTGTCCCCGTTTTCTGTTTTAATAGGTGTACAACTAGCCTGCATTGATTTTTGATCCTGTCATTCACAATTTATTTATGAAACATGTTAATTAGTATCTAAATTTATTAGTAGCCAGGGGAAAGTTTGGAGGAGGCTGTGAGAAGAGAAACATGGGAGGAGACCGGTATTGAAGTTGGACAAGTTGTTTACCATAGTTCTCAGCCATGGCCTGGTAATGTTCTTGGAAACAGATTTGTGGTATTTGTTCCCTTCCGTTCTTTTAGTTCTTATTTTATACACCTAGCTTTTTCTCAATGACGTAAGGTAATTATGTAATTAGTGTCTTTTCCAAGGAAAAGTGCCAAAAAGTGACAAGGTGGGTGGAACTTGAAGCGGAAAGAGAGAAGTGAATCACACAATTTATGAAGAAAATTAAAATTACTAAGCCTATTACTTACATAAACTCAGTACAAATGATTATTCAACATCCAATATAAGAAAATGCCTTTGTTAATCCAACTCCTCAAAATCGAGATTCAAAGAACAAGTGAATCACAGAATTTATGATAAACATCCATTATAAGAAAATGCCATTATTGAGATTCGAAAGACTGATCCCGATTTTCATTTTGATAACTTTATGAATCATTCTTTGAAGCGCATGACTTCACCCATGAAGCAATAACCATTGCCTCACATCATAGCAACAAAGCAATGCCTTTTAATATCAATACAGGGAAGGAACACCAGAATAGCTCCTAATGTTACCACCGATCCTTAAAAAAACATCATATTGGTGTGATGCATATCAACTTTTCATTTTTCTTTTGAGCATTGTTGATCTAATTGTGTGCCAATCAGTTGCTTCATGAAATGGTCTGTTGGAGTTTTTCTTTTCCTCATTGGTAGCTGTTACTGTACTTTTATATGTATTACTTGCATGCGAGTTTTCTTTTAGCTTATGTGATTATCATTTAGCTGTATGATTCCTCTACAGTTGGACCTAGCAGCATGCCATGCCAACTTATGGTGGGATTCTTTGCTTATGCAAAATCACTGGATATTAATGTGGATAAGGAGGAATTAGAAGGTAACTTTAGATTTTTAATCTTGTTGATTTTTGATTGACTTCCTTCGACTTATAATGCTTGAATTCGTTTTGATTATGGGCATTTTTTCTTTCTTTGTGTGGCGGTGAATCAACTTGTTATCTAGATGCGAAATGGCACAGCAGAGAAGTTGTGAAAAAGGCACTCACGATTGCGGAATACAAGAAGGCACAGAAGACTGCTTGTGGTAAAGTGGACCAAATGTGCAAGGGTGTAGAAAGAGGACAGAGCTTGTCTTCCGATTTCAATGTGGAAAGTGGGGAACTTGCTCCTATGTTTATCCCGGGGCCCTTTGCAATTGCTAATCATCTCATTTCCTCTTGGGTGAATGGGGTTGAATCACAACTTGCAAGTTCTTTCTCAAATTTATAGGTTGGTGCTCACTAATGAAGTTTTCTTTTTTTGCAGCATGTCATTTAATCTTGTTATGTGTATCATCTATCTTGTTTGAAATCGATTTTGATGAAATTATTGCAACGTTGATACTGTAGTAAGCTTCTCAAATGACCTTAGTCTACTCATGAAGAAACATGATAAATATGCTTTGTCATTCTAAAACTTGAGGCTTTCTGTTTTTGCTTAGTTAAATTTGTCAGTTTGGTAAATAGGTGGCTGTGGGATTCATTAGAAATGTTTACAGTAGAATTTTATAAATTCGATCGAAACAACTTTTAACTTAGAGAAATCACAGCTAATCTGTATAAACAGAGCATTGAATCTACATTCATTTCCATGCCGTTGAATGCAACATGTATTTTTTTCTTTCTTTTGTAGGCCACTCCCCTCCGATGAGACGAACAATTAAACTTGTAGGGGAGATGAACCTCCATATGTGCTGCAACAATACCTTTTCCTCCGATGAGACGAACAATTAAACTTGTAGGGGAGATGAACCTCCATATGTGCTGCAACAATACCTTTTCCATTGCTATTGATTCAGTAGATGAATAATGCTGCTGGCAAATGTGAAAATGGACGTGTATACATACACAGCAAACGTGCTAGTATACATTTTAAGCAATTGCACTTCGTACTACTTGTGTTGTAATTTGAATTTTGTGTTATAGAGATAATTTACGCCACATAGCTCATATTTTTGAGTTTGTTGCCCGATTTACCTTTTATTTGTGTATAAAAACACCTTTCATAACTATTATACATTTTTAGAGAAGATGATCAAAATGGTCCAATATATATCTTACCTTATCAAAATAGTCTATGTGTATCATTTTAGTCCTTAGCAAATAGAAAGATGGGTTAGACTTAGGAGTGTGCATGGATTAAATCGAAAAACTAAATCAAATTGAATCGAATTATAATTTGGATTGGATTTTAGGTGGGGTAGCAAACTCTATTAAAATATAATTCGTCCAATTCATTCACATTTTTCTTAACTTTGCTCATTTTAGCTCAAGCTCCTTGCAGATACATAATTTAAATTGACCAATGAAAAAATATATCAATTAGCGGATGATCAGTAGCAACACATGTATGATTTTTTACTTTCATTATAAATCGACATTGAATATAAATTGCCTCGTGAAGTAGCAGTAATATAATTTATGTTCTAAATAGATAATATTTGCTTCGTACTACTTATGTTCTAATTTGAATGTTGAAGTTCATGTAGTCAGCCAATGAAAATAACAAGATTTGTTTAGTTTGATAGAACGTTCGTTTAATGGCTGAACTGGTCTGGCATTAGATTCGAACCCCTGAAATAAATATGACAAGAAAAATCAAGATGTAAGTTATATAATTCCTTTCATCCAAAATAAGTAAATTTTTTTTAAAATGACTTGCTTTCTTTTTTAGTCTGTTTAAAAAAGAATGATCTTTTTCTTTTTTGTGGTATGATTTTAATTTTCACCTTGCACATAACATGTTTAAGGCCACAAGATTAAATAGTAATTTTGTACATTTAACATAATTTTAGTTTAGGACCGCAAGATTCAAAATTTTACTTGATTTTCTTAAACTCGGTGTCAATAATCAAACTAGACCATTCTTTGTGAAACAGAGGAATACTTTTTAACAAAGTTAACTCAAATTACAAAATTAATTCATAACCTCTTGGATAAAAAATCATTTCATTTTATTCGAAGAAAAAAATATGTGCTAAAGTTTTACTTATTTTAAATTAAAAGGCGTTAAATATGATTAGATTCTAAAAAAAAAATTATGAAACTTGAAGAACCACTCATTTGTAGTTGCACAACTTTTAACAGTAAAAAGAAAATTTTAATAGGCGCTTGAACTTCAATTGAATAAATAATATTTGTAATTTTAAAAAATAGCATTTTGAAGGATAAATTGAAAAATAGTATCAGAAAAAATAAAACTATGTTTAGGCATGCATTACGCTTGAAAAAAATATAGAAACAAACGTTTTTTTAAGAAAAAAAAAATAACTCACGTTAACAACAGCATCTTGGAGCAGTTTTATTTGTCTTGCTGTTACACTATTAACCTAGAAAATTGAAAAATGAAAAAAATTACATAAATTTAAATTAATTTTTAAAATGTGAATACAATTACTTTTAATTTTCATAAAAATAATGAATTTAGGAAAAGTTAATTACCTTTCCATCAATAGTCCAAACAACACCTTGAGTGCAAGGAGGGGTAGTTAGGGAGCCAATATATCTATAATATATATTAACATCCAATTTTATTATATTTGGATCAATAATTCCCATGGGTTTTTCTGCACCTTTTTTATCAGCAACAGCTATTAAATCACCCTCTAGCTGCAATTAGATAAGCAAACAATATCAAGAAGCCGAAAAAATAATGAGATCGATTGATCGATTAAATTATACTGATAATATAAAAAATAAAATTGTGCATTTACTATGGTCAGGAGATCATCAGGCAATAATCCAATTTCGTAGAGGATTGCAATGACAGCAATTTTTCCATCACTGCTCATATGTACCAAATGAGCCTCCATATCATATCTGAATTATATTTATTCAAAAAAAAAAAACTTGGTTGAGATTATGTAGTTTCTAAATATATCAGTTTTGTTTCAATAATTGATAAATCTATGTCTAAAATCACACTTGAACATTAGTTAATTTAATCCTCGTACTGTGAATCAAGTATGACAAATTGAATGGATTTAGCATCCAATAATTTAAAAAAAGTAAAATTTTAAATCACGACTCTATCTCTGATCGCAATAAATATATATAATATAACATACCTTTTACCGTCGATACTATGTTCGGAAGGTGTGTGCCAATGAATTTGTAGGAGTTGATATTGAGTTTCATTTATCTTCAAGTATCCTGCATCACCATCCCATCTCAACTGCATTTATAAATAGTATTATTATTATATTCACAACTTAAATTTTTATTTCAATATGAATGATACTATAATTTTCCACAATATATATTACTATATATATAGTGATACAATTTGCTTGCGTACCATTATATCATGTCCTCTATTCACAAGAGTGGCATTGGATGGTTTGTAGTATTTTTGAAGAATTCCTAAATTTGATACAACTTCAACCACTTTGTTATCAAGATCAATTGGAGATTGTAAATTTCCATTGCAGTTACTCGATATTTCTCCCCATTTAGCTGGTCCATTATTCGCGTATTGATCATAACTAAATTCATCACTCGTATCATCTACAATTATCCAGATATCATTAAGAAACTTACGGTGTCTGTCACAGACAGTACAAAAAAAAAGTAAAGAAATCATACTAGTAAATTATCTTATATGAACACGAGCTAAAATTTGTCTAATTAATACATTTAACGTACCAACTTCTAGAGATCTTGCAAGAAATTCACTTGAATGGAAAAGAAAAGAAAAGAAGAAGATTTTGATTATTGTTGCCATATTCATATTATATCTTCAACTGTTCATATATTTTGGGAGTTGATGAGGAAACTCAGTAAATTTATAGATCCTTATGGGGTTGGGGGTGGGGGGTAACGTAATATGAAGCTGATAAAAAAATTAGTTGTAATTTTGACTGATATCTCTTGTGTTTAATTGTTGGTTGAAAATCTGAAATTCTATTAAGTTAATGATGTTAAATTCCCCTTTTATTTCTCATATAAATGTATATTTCCCATTTTTGACATGAGTTATGATATTATGGTCGATAGTCTATGCCCTATGGTCTTTACTCTGAATATTCATGTTTGAATAAATATTGTTAAAATACGAGTTTGAAATTGAAAGGCCAATTTATTTTTTTTCAAAAAAACAAAAATAGCATATGAATTTTTTTTAAACCAAAATGGTAAAATCATTCTTGATATAGTGATTTCTTGCTAATAAAAACTTTTTTCCGTAAAATCTCTACCGTGGCATCAATTTTGTCCAATTTTTTTTCAAACATCGTTGTCCCTGCCGCATTTTTTTAAAATGAAAATCACTACTATGCTATTGTTTTTATCAAAAAAAAGTTTTTAAAATAAAAAAGCAGCGTTTCTCTTTTAAAGATTAAAAAAAGATCTACAAATCGCTAGCCAGAAAGCGATTTTATTAATTTTTTTAAAATCGCTGCTAAAAAGACCTTTTTAAAAATAAATAAATACATTGCTACCCCAGAAATCATTGCTTTTGGCAGATATAATCTATATATATATATATATATTTTTTATTTTTTTTATTTTTTTAAAACAGCGATTTCAATTATTTTAACTTTTTTTTTTTGATAAAAATGTTGCCGTAGCAGCTATTTACAAAAAACATGGATAAAATTGCTGTCAAAACGGCCATTTTCATTTTTTCTAAACAGGGGTAATGGCATTAATATTTGTCGGAAGAAAATCATTTCAGAAGTGACTTTATCTTTTTAATTATTAAAAAAAATTAATATATCATTTATTTTTTTTGAAAAAAAATTATTCTTCAATTTTCGAACTCGCTAAAACACACCAGGATGACTTCACGATGTTAAGAGTATTGTATACTATATATTATACTATATATAGAGAGATCATATACTTCTTATATTTATAAATATTTTGCACATAATCACTAGTTTTAATTTGCCGTCACTAACATGACATTTCTCCAAATAATATTCACTATCTCTTTTTATCAATTGAGAGTCAAATAATTTAGTTTTGATTGTGGATATGATTTTTAAGTTTATTCTTTAAAAAAAATTTTTATATATATTTTAAAATTATATAAAAATATTATAAGTTAGAATAATTGATAATTGAAGACATTAAAAATATATTTAAAAATTGGTAAAAAAATTGACTTATTTGAATATTCATAAAACAAAAAATGTGATATAAATTAAAACAGAGTAAATATATAATTATGTATGTACGTACATGACTACTGCCAAGTAAAGATAATCTTTTTCGTGTAAAATTTCCAATGTAATAATGGATTAATTAAAGTTCTTACGAAATTTCTCGTTTAATTTTTCAATTTCTCTTTTGCTTACTCAGGATCTTAGCATGTTACGTTATGGTTTACCTTATTCTCATCCAATAAACTAAATCTGGTAACAGAAATGACGTTAAGTCTCAAATAATTATAATTAGGTATAATTTCTTTGTTTCACTTTAAATTAGTATATATTAGTTGGTTACAATTAAGAGGCATAGGCTTCATTGTTTGCTAACTTAATTAGGGTTTGAATCTTAATTATTCAAATTCAGTTCATTAAGTGCATTTGATTTTTAGGTCTGAATCTTAATTATTAAGATTTGTTCATTAAGTTCACTTGTTTCTTTTTTAAAAAGGTCTCTTTATTAGTTTAAATGAGTCTGAATAAATCAGGTCTATAACAGAGTCTTAATTATATTTAGATTCTATTAAAATAATAAGTGTTCTTTTAATAAACAAATTTACAAATTTTCTTCTTCCCTTTTTCTCTTCTGGACAAATTTCAAGTTTCTTCCTTAAAAAGTGGTGATCTTTTTTTTTAAAAAAAAAAACAAAAATTAGCTGCGTTGGCAGCAATTTTGGTGGATTTTTTTTTACCACCATAAAAATAGAAAGAGGCGAAGATGAGTTAATTAGTAGTACTAAGTAAATTGTTTTATTTTTAAAAAATAAATAATACAAAAATGGCTGCCAAGGTAGCGATTTACTAAAAAAAAAAAATTTTTGGCCAAAATCGTTATACCGATAGCCATATTTTTTTAAAAAAGGAAAAAATATTTTAGAGAAAATTGCTCGTGGGTCAATGATTTTAACTTTAACGGAGTAACAGTGTGAAAACAAAATTGCTACGTCAGTAGCGATTTTACCCCTTGGTTAAAAAAAATTATTTACTCTTTTAAAATTTTTATCAAAATTTTTTGCCCTTTAAATTTTAGACTCATATTATTTTTATATATATAAGAGAGAAACTTTTGGGGGATATATTAAATAGTAAAGGGTGAAAAATGTTAATAAAAATTTTAAAACGGTATATGAATTTTTTTAACCAAAACGATAAAATCGCTCATGAATTAGCAATTTTGTCCGCTTGAAAAAGTAAAATCGTTGCAATAACAGCGATTTGTTAAATATGATTTTTTTTTAAAAAAATAAACAAAATTGCTTCCAAAGGAGAGATTTCCAAACTAAAATTTTCTTTTTTTAATATGTCGCTGCTGAGGCAACGACTTAAGTTTAAATTTTTTTAATTATTTTTTTTAAAAAAAAATCAAATCTCAGCGATTTTTAATTAAATGTTTTTCTTTTTAAAAACAATCAAATCGCTAAAAAAGATTTTAATTTAAAATCGCTGCCTCAGCAGCAGCGACATAACAAAAATATAATAAAATATATATAGTAGCGATTTTACTTGAAAATTGCTCCTTTGAAAGCGATTTTGTTTAAAATTTTATTTTTTCTTAAAATAAATCAAATTTAACAAATTGCTGTTATAATAGTGATTTTACTTGAATTTTATTTCTTCCATTTATCGTGAATTAGAAGTTTGTCATCGATAACTTTCACATGACATCATACTGTTTTGATCCAAAAATCAATTATTTGTAAAATAAAGATTTACTTGAATTTTATGTTTATATTAAATAAATAAATATAAAATAATCAGACTGCCACAATTTAAGATAAATATCTTAAATGCCTAATTTATTTTTCTGGCTAGCTAAACTTGTTCTGGAATTTTATTTTCAAATCTTTCGCATTTTTCTTATCCTATATGGCTATTTCTAAGATAATTAATCGTGTACAACTCCCTTAATTTACATCTATTCAGGCTTGCACCTCTCCTTTTAAGCAAATCATGTCATATATTATTCTTTAAATTAAAAAAAAAGTCAACTATACACCCATCAGCTATTTTAACTTTAGTTTAAGCAGTTTAGTGTACAACTATACATTTAGCTGGGTAATTAATTCGCTAATTGTTATATTCTTTTGCTAAGAGTAAGAACAAATAAATAAAAAAACTTATACAGAAAATCCTTCAAGAATTTATAGAGAAATATCCTATAATATTAGGGACGCAATCCACGTGCCTACACGTATAATGGTATTAATTTCCTCGTCGATCATATGTTGGATCAATAAATCAATCAATATATATATATAAATGAGGATCTTCAATCCGCCTATGTGGCATGCCTCAATGTTGAGAAAAAAAATATATATATATATATATTTTTTAAAAAAAAAAAATAGGGCTTTTTAGATTATTTCATTTTACACAATAATATTATGTGTATATATATAATGCTATTAATAAGTAACTTAATGAGCATTACACCTCATAACCTTTTAATAATATATATAACATCTAATTTTTAATTTAATAATATAACCACTAACCTTTCATATTCATAACCTTCAAAATATTTAATATAAAAATTATAACTCCTAAATATTACACCTATAAAATCCCATTTTGAGACATTGCATGATGGTGATTTTATTTTTATTTTCCTTATTCTTCATTTTTTATTCCTTTGATTTGTTATTTTTTTTGTCTTCTTTGATCTAATTTTTGCAGGAGAGGGATGTATAATGAAAAATGTTATATATTTTGCATATTTTGATTTTGTGAGGTAAAATGATTTGACATTTCTAATTATCATTATCACTTTTGTTCTATTGTAATTATATATAGATTTGATATTATTAGGTTGGATTGTTGATGATACAAATCATGATTCTTTTATAGAAAAAATAATTATTTTTTTTGCTTCTGTTTGTAGTTTTTTGATATTTTTTTTCTAAATCTTGTAGTTTCTACTGACAATTATTATCTTTATTCACTTTGTAAATTTGAAGAATCGAATTATGTTATGTTGAGAACATGACCCTTTTTTCCTCTTCAAATCATATATAACTTAAATATTTAAATATTTTTGCTTGATTAGTTAACTATAATTTTATGTCTTTTTGTTGTTATTATTGTAAGGATTATAATTATGTTATGTTGAGAACGTGATCCTTCTTTCCCCTTCAAATCATATATAACTAAATATTTTAAATCTTTTTGCTTGATTAGTTAATTATTTTAGGTATGTTTGTTGGTATTATTGTAAGGATGATTTTATTGTTCTCCGGTTAAACCTCTGATGCAATAAGAGTTGATTGGTTCCTTATCAAATTAGTTAGTTAGTTGAAAAAACGCCAATATATTTTATTTCTAATTTCGTCTAACAATAACTTCCTCCTCACTAGCTATAAAAATGTTATACAAATATATAATAAATATAAGTAATAAAAAAAGTAATATATCACATCTCAATATAAAGTAAATAAAATACTAAATATTAAATACAAATATTATATAACTAAGAATCAAATAAATCGATTCCTCTTATAATTTCGTATCTCACAATACATAACAATGATATGGTAAAAATAATAATTTTAACGTTGCATTATTTTTTATATTATTTATATATAGAAATTATTTATAGGCCAAATATTTCACAATTTTGAGAATTTAATCAACAAAAAATTAAATATTTTTTAGTTTTATTTTAAAACATTCGTACGATTACTTTTTTTGATAATTTCAAAAAAAATTCTAATTCCTTTTGATTAACTTTTTAATTCTATGTCCCTTTTTAAATTTATTTTTAATTAGTTTTTCTCTTAATAGATATCTCTCCTATAATATAAAATGAGAGAAAAAAGTATATATTGTTCAAAATAATAGTAATTACTAAAATTAATGTATATTATTTGAAGCATCTTTGGAGACTTTTAATAATTTGAAATTTCTAAAATGAGGTAAAAAGAAAAAAAGTCATATAATAAAATAAATCATAAAAATGATGGAGGATTTTACTTAAACATATTTTTGTTTATTAAAAAAATATGTCACATTTTTTTTTACCTTTTTTCTCTTATTTTTATATATTTATTTTTGATTAAATTTTTATTATAAACTCACACCTCTTCATCTTTCAAAACTTCTATATTTACTTAATAACTTTCAGCTTTATATCTTCGTAACCCCAAATTACTTAATATTTAAATTTGTGATATCTTAAAAGCAAATCAAAAAAATATTTCTAACCAAATATATTTATGTTTAGCTTAATTGTTCTCTACTTTTATCTTGTAATGCAAAATCAATCGACAAAGACTTCTTTATATAATTGTTTTTACTTCTAATAAGAATGATACAAAATAAGATATATAAAAGAGAATAATTGATTTGTTTTTTTTGCATGAAATTATAAGAGCAAGATCATTACTAGAAGTAAGACAAAAACAATTATTGAAAACATTAAAATGTATTTGTAGATACGCTTAGCGGTGAGAAATAATCAAAATTATTATGAAGTTATTTTTAAATTTTAAATAAAATATGAATCATGAAAAGTATAATAAAAATTAATTAAGAGAATTCATTTAAACATTTTGCTTAAATTAATAAAAAGCTTAAGACAAGCTAACTTGATTATGTTAAGATTTGATGCTAATTGTTACTGTCTTAAAAAATATATATAAATTAGTAAAAATACTAAAGATGAGCAAACTTCAGTCTTTTAATTACGATGCTAATTGTTTGTGTTTTCTTAACAGAATTAAATAAGCAAAGAATAAAAAAAAGGGAGACTAAACAATAGAGTTGAAATAATTTTTTTTAAAAAAATTAATTATAGAAAAAAATTTCTCAAGGAAAAAATTAATACAGATAATCATTTCAAATATACTTATTACTAACCATTCATCCTCCATTATAATGATTCTAAAAATTTACTTAACTTTTTCTCCTACACTTTAATTATAAGAAAATATTATTTATCGTTAATAATTATAAATATTCATATTATTTGTGAAAAGTTTTTTTATGTTTACTTTATTTAGAAAAAATTCAAGAGTCTAATTATAAGGTTTTAGTAGATATATAAGTTTTTTTTAATCTTAACATAAAACCTTTTATCATTCATCTATAATTGTTCATTTATTACTTATTTTATTATGCATTTTAACAATAATATATTATTTTT